AAGAGAACCTTCTATAAATTTAGGCTGTATGCCTGAATGGGTCATCTTTGGTCTCATATCCACCTCCAGAACAATAATGGTTGCCAGAGATATCCCAGTCAAGGGATGACTATTTTTTTTTAAAAATCCACTGCTGTTTTCAGTTTTCAAATGTCTTATAGTATCCTTTGATAGATGATTGGCTAAAGAAGATGTGGTCTATATATACAATGGAATACTATTCAGCCATAAGAAAAGATGAAACAGTGCCATTTGCAACAACATGGATGGATCTTGAGATTATTATGCTAAGCAAAATATATCAGGCAGAAAAAGTCAAGAACCATATAACTTCACTCATATGTGGGGTATAAAACAGAAAGCAGCAAAGGAACAAGACAAACAAATAAAGAAACAAAAACTCATAAACACAGACAATAGTTCAGTGGTTACCAGAGGGTAAGTGGGGAAGGGGTGGTAGATGAGGGTAAAGGGGATCAAATATATGGTGATAGAAGGAGCACTGACTCTGGGTGGTGAACAACACAATGTGATATATAGATGATGTATTACAGAATTGTACACTTGAAACCTATGTAATTTTAATAACCATTGTCACCCCAATACATTTTAATGAAAAAAAAAGCATCTACTGCTGGAGCTGAGCAAAACTCAGCTTTAGATAGGGAGGAAGAAGAGAAAAATGAATGCTGTAAGGCAATCAACACAGTTTACCATTGAGACATGTCCAAGAATAGGTGATAAAGAGAACATTAAGACCAGGTGTGTTCTCGGGCATTGTAGTCAAATAGAAATGACATCCTCTTGGTGAAAATAAAGCTCACAAATGAATTGCTGAAATGAACAGTCATTTATAAGTTGAAGATTCCTTATATAGGTCAATACCACAAAGTAGACATTTAGCAGTTTTTGTATTTAGGTGCAGAAGATCGAGTAAGGGTCTTGTTCATGAGATTTTGGGGGGAGCAGATACTATGAGTCTGTGTTTCTCTGTGTTAGGCTGAGTTCTTCCAAAGTTAGAAAAAAGTTAAGACCAACAAACACGTTTATTTTGTGCTTCCAAATGGTTGGTATTTTTTTCCGTTTGCAATCACTGTTGATAGCTCAATTTTTGCATCAGTTCTTCCCTCTTTGTTCATTGCATTAAAGCCATCAATAAATATAAGCTATCCGTTATTCACAGAGAACATTTAAAATACTTACTCTCTAATAGTCAAAGCCTGTGTCAGATATCTCCTACCACTCCTTCCTACTTGGACTGAAGGAGAAAAATATATTTGAGCCTCTTGGATGAACCTAGAATGCTCTGACAATAGGTAGATGCCTCTCCCAGCCTACAGTTCATGCCTGGATGTAATTAGCAGGCTTCTCATCTGCCTTTGAGAGCAGAGCACCTTTAGGGGCACCTGTCCTACCTTAATTAATGCCAGACTTCAGTGGCTTTGTGCACTGTGGAGCACAGTTGGGTGACAGGCCTCTAAAATGTTGATTCATTACAACTTTTACACTCTTCACTTGTTCTATTTTCTTTATTTCTAAGAACAACCTACTCAAATAAATACATACACAAACAAGGGCCGGCCGAGTAGCTCAGTTGGTTAAGAGCTCGCTCAAGAGTGTGAGATCTGAGCAACAGGGTCACTGGTTCGATGCCCGGCCTGAGCTGAGCTGCCAACAGGTGGCAGGATGGCTCAGCTAAAAATAAATAAATAAATACACAAACAATAAACCCACTGCTTCCTGAACTCCAGTTTACTAACTTTCTAGATTAGTTTCTTCTTTGTACTCATCATTAGACACAAAAAAGAATTTCTTTGGTTTCCATTTCCTTCTGAAACCTATTAGGAGAATCTGAAGGCAATTTTGTGGTTCATGGTAAACAGCTGAAACACAGTTGACATATATTTGCCAGTATCAAAATCTTTTTCACATTTCAAGACTAAGCTCAACTGTTACCTCTTCTGTGAAATGATTCCTTCCATTTCTGTCTTACATCTTATTCATAATTATGTCTTCCTCTAGTCTCCTGCAAAATATCAACCTACACCTCTGTAGCATGGTGAAAACAATTATTATAATAGGTAGCACAAAAATTTAGTGGTGCAGGAATGGCTGGTTAGCTCAGTTGGTTAGAGCACAGTGCTCATAACACCAAGGTTGCTGGTTCGAGTCTCACATGGGCCACTGAGCTGCACCCTCCACAACTAGATTGAAACAACTACTTGACTTGGAGCTGATGGGTCCTGGAAAAACACACTGTTCCCCAATTTATAAAAATATTGTTTAAAAAAAAATTTAGCGGTGCAATAAAATCCACTATACCATAAATTCCTTGTGTTGATGATTTAGGGGGATATCAGGGAAAAAGGACTAAGTTCTCTGTTTGGTCTGGCAAATCTTCTGGGTGGGTTTTCCAGAAGCTAACTCTGAGATGTATTCGGTCACTGGGAAAGTCATGATGTATTTTTCTATGTTTTTCAATGCAAAAATGCATCATGACTTTCCCGACGACCCAATAGATGTGTATGCAAGTGATTTAAGGAAGTGGTCTCAGGAGGAACCAGTAAGGCAGTAGGTGAGACAGAAGAGGGAAGGGGAGAGGGGCTAAGCAAGTGTGAAGTTCAGCCTCAGCATGATCCCATGGGGAGCTCTGAAACAGAAGTTGCATTGCAGAGTCGTCTTGCCTTGAGGCAAAGGATTTCTGTACCTGTCAGCCATTGGCTTGTGGCTGCCCAGTAGGGACATAAACTCAAGTTTACCGGGTGCTTGTGGCTCTCTAATCCTATGGGGAACTCCAGCCACCCAGAGGTAGTCCTCTGAAGAAGTTATCAGGTGCCAGCCCTTAGAAGTAAAGCATGTGGAAGCTGGGAGATGAGAGAGCACAGATCCAACAAGGGACCACAGAGGATCTGAATGGAGCACCGATAGTGGTTACTACAATTCATAAATCAAGAGCCATACACACCAACAATAAGGCTATTGATTATAGCCAGGAATTAGTGAGTGCTTACTGTATGTGAGCATTGCTCTAAGCTCTTAATAACATTAGCTTCTTTAATCCTTACCATAACCATCTGAGGTAGCTAATGATATTATTTCTGTTTTGTCAAATGAGAAAACTAGATTTATCTAAGTAACTTGTCTAAGGTGACACAAAGATTCCATGGTGCAACTAAGATTTTAGTCAACAAGTGTTCTAATTCAATACCATGCACTGTATACACCATGCCACTGGCTTTGGCGTGGCTTCTCAGTACACAAAGCTGTTAAGAGTGGCAGAGCCTGAGTCATCCTGCCTGGGCACATATCTTGGTCACTCAGAACAAAATGAGACAAAACATCTAACAGTTAGTGCAGAAAAAACATGCAAATCCTCAAAAAAGTTTAAACAGCCAGAAAATTAACAACTTTATCCTTGACACCTCTTTTGTATATTATACTATTTGGCTAAATTTCTTTATAGAGTATAAGACGACAAGGGAAGAAAAATAGAGAAAAAGGAAGAGAGGGTATAATAGATTACTATTAAAAGTTATTGAGAATGACAGAAACAAATATCCTGAACAAAAGCATATTCACTGTACTTGGGATCTGGTTATTAAGTTGTTTTTCCCTAAAGAGAGTGAGTTTCAATTCTTTTGAGAATGTCATCGACAACTGGTTAGTACCTCATTCCCCATAAACAATATAACTTTTTGCAGCACATTAGAAAATTTAGTCACTTTTTCTGAATGCCAAAAATATCATTTATTTCTTTAAAATCATTAACTGCATTTTGTTGCCATCTGAACTCTAGCATACAAAAAATACAATAATGTTAACTAAAGCCTTTGTTTCTTTAAGACTGGTTGAATATTTTAGAATGATGGAAATGAAAATTCTGGGCTCTGAACTAAGAAATAAGCATCAATCAAGAATATTTCAATGTATTTCTAATTCTAAGGACTCTAGTTCCTGTAGGCACATTAAATATTTTTGTAACATGTGAAGGCAATCTTATGACAAGTTTCCTCCTCAAGAAAAATAAACATAAGCCCCTGACTACAGTTTTGGGAAACTTAGAAGACACAAACGCTACATGTTGCACAGTAGGCAGTGGCTGAGGAGGCAACTCCAGTTATTTCTGCTCCTCTATTCAGGGGTGAGATGTAATGACCAAATATAACCAAATATATTTAACAAGCAGGACACTACAGGCAGCACCCAATCACAATGGATACAGCAACCAATCAGAATGATGCTATGATCATTCAGAATAGATGTTGCAACTGATCAGAATGAATGCTGGCTGAAATATAGGTGAGGTCATACCTGGGGATCCAGCTAAATAAATATCAACCCTATCTACAATTGATGTGAAACTCAATTGTGCCCATATTACTCAACTTTCCTCACACAGAAACTTATTTTAAGAAATTCAGGTGGTTTCTGGGGTACAGTGGCATACTTTTCACTCTCCAGGTCCCCTTATTCTCCCAGCTATGACGGAGGCAAATTCCCAGTAAGACTGACCTGAGAAAGGCATAAATAAATAATAGGTAACAATTATTGTGCAGTTAGGGACCAGGCACTGCATGTGTATTATCTTCCTTAATCCTTACAACAACCCTATGAGGTGGCTACAATTATTATCCATGTTCTATTGATGAGGAAACAAAGGCATAGAGAAGTTAAGTAACTTACTCAAGGTCAAGCAATTAATACATCCCAGAGCTAACACTAAAACCTGGCAGCGCTTCCACTTAGCTACTAGGTATGACATTATTACCAAATGGGAGTTCTCATCAACACTATATTATTAGCTCAATTCCATCCTTTCATCAAGCTAAATAATAAAGTATCAAAGATGTTTTCTAATATGTGAGCTACTGCTGGGAACCCATGAAGTCACTGACCAATATTTGTCTCCAACGTGATTGCATTTGCCCCATTTCTGATCTAAACTGCTTCAAACAAACAGAAAGCGGTTAAGCAGGGCAGAAAATATAAATGAATATTACCTTATTCTCTTGTCCTCCACTTTTTTCAAATATTCATCTCTCTTCAAGACTCCCAGGATCATTTCCTTCTCATGATCTAATAAAAATGACAAATTGATGAACTCCGAGTTCTTAGACATGGTATTTCAGCAGCAGCTCTGAGTATCAGTGGTTGAATTTTCCAGTGAATAGATATCCCCAACTCTTAAGGTCCCTGTGAGCAAGCTTGAGTCACTCAGTTGTTTGACGCAGAGTGGTTTTTATAAGGTCTCTGAAGAACTAACTGCCAATGGTAGTTAGGTATTCTTCCAGGCTCCACAGAAAACAGGCACCACTGGGATTACAGTCCAAGAAAGTCATTATTGTTTTAACTGAAAAAGCTCTCCAAAGCCTTTGCTGTGGTGTACAGAGGTAGCAGCTGAGTTTCACTAATGATGCTCAGCGTTAATCCTTCAGAAAGCTACAGAGTAGGAATCAGATCCACTGGAGCAGAACGCAGAAACCACTGAGAAGGTGGAGAAAACAAAGGAGAGAAAAATTCATTAGGCCATTTTCCCCCATAACACTTGGAAGAGCATCTAATTTTTGAAAGTCATATACTTAATCTAAAAAACAAACTTGAATCAGTATACATGCATTTATTACTTCTATATTGTGTGTTTATTACCATAAACTATTATTTACATTTAGTTGATTCCAGGTTCTCTATGAAAATTCAGTTTCTTTCATTATAATTGGCTTTCTCTTCCCATTACCATACTTGCAGCTGACCCATGGGTGAATTGGCTCACCACTTCGGGACACTAAGTGCATAGTCTGAACTGTCCATAACAGGACAGGTCCCTTAAGTGGCTCCCTCCTCCTTCCACAACTAAGACCATTCCATAAAAAGCACTGCTAGCAAAACAAATATGAACCAGTGCTATGTGTATCAATCTGAATATGAGGCCTGACAATTAGGTTCGGGAACTTGTAGTCATGACGTTGCTAAGCTTTTTTGATATCACAGGGATTATTCATTATGAATTTGTACCAAATGGACAAACAGCTAACCAAGTTTACTATTTGGAAGTGCTAAAAAGGCTGCATGAACGTCAGACAACTTGAACTTTTTGCTAACAATTCATGGCTCTTGCATCATGACAATGCACCAGCTCACAGAGCACTGTCTGTGAGGGAGTTTTTAGCCAGGAAACAAATCACTGTATTGGAACACCCTCCCTACTCACCTGATCTGGCCCCCAGTGACTTCTTTCTTTACCTGAAGTTAAAGAAAATATTGAAAGGAAGATATTTTGATGACATTCAGGACATCAAGGGTAATACAAGGACAGCTCTGATGGTCATTCCAGAAAGAGAGTTCCAAAATTGCTTTGAAGGGTAAAGTAGGTGTTGGCGTCAGTGCATAGCTTCCCAAGGGACGTACTTTGATGGTGACGGTAGTGATATTCAGCAATGAGGTATGTAGCACCTTTTCTAAAATGAGCTCACAAACCTGTCTGACCATCGTATATCTCAGAAATATCATGTTGAATGAAAAACTCAAATTACAGAAAAATCCATGCAGAATGATAGCATATATACGAAGGGAATAAGTTGAAACATTATATCTAAATTAGGAACACATACATTTGTGATATAAATACAGGGAAATTCAGAGCGATGCAATCAGAGAGGAGAACACAGTAACTTCAACTGTATTGGGTAATATTTTATTCTCAAGATGGGTGTTTATATCTCATGGTGTATGGGGGTGTGAATTATTCTAGGAAGGTAGTACATATGGCAAAACAGGTGCTCTAAAACTACCCCCTTGTCAACATCAGAAGCTCGCCAGGCTCCATCCCTCATCCTAACTCTTGAGCACATGCTTTCATTGGCTGGGTACCTGACTTCTCTCTGTACATCCCCTTAAGAACAATGACTCTTACAGTGATCTAGCAGGTTTTGTGATTTGGCATCATCCATAACATTGCCCCTTATCTTCCTCCTAGCTGTATGAACTACAATCTATATGCAAGTTACACTTGGTTTGCTTGGTTCCAAGTATAACTACATACTTACTCAAAGGATGCTTTGGGGCCTCCCAGTAACCATAAGGTTAGGCTGACCTGAAAATCTCAGGAGATCTGAAAGGATAAGATCTTGTGCAGAGGTTTTTATTTTTATTTTTGAATTGGGGAATTGGGGAAGTGGGGAAAGAGAACAGCCATGTTACTCTCCTTCAATCTTAGTTGTGGAGGGCACAGCCAGCTCAGCTCCAAGTCCAGTTGCCATCTGGCCACCCGATGGCAGCTCACGGGCGGTCAGCTCAAGGTGCTGTGTTCAATCTTAGTTGCGGGTGGGCATAGCCCACCATCCCATGCAGGAGTCAAACTGGAAACCTTGTTGCTAAGAGTGCACACTCTAACCACTGAGCCATTTGGCTGCCTCTTGGCAGCTCAGCGGCCGCTCAGTTCGGGCGCAGCTCACTGGCCCATGTGGGAATCAAGCCGGCAACCCTGTTGCTCAGAGCTCGTGCTCTAACCAACTGAGCCACTCAGCCGGCCCTCCAGAGCCCCTCTAACTTTCCAAATCCCCCATGTTTTTTTTTATACATTATACACCAAACCAGAACTGGGCTTAAACGACTCAGAACTGAACTGTTTCCTACAGATCAAGAGCCAGCCTCCTCTGAGAAAACTGCCCTCGTCAGTCCAGACTTTCTAGATTGACTCCAGGCCTTTTCTCCATCTCCAAAGTCCTAAAAGCAGCAAGGATGGAGAGCCCTGAGATTGACATGAACAGGAAGCAACAAGGTGAAGAACAAAAGGGGCTCTTCAGAAAGGTTAAGGGTTTGGTTTTTTGCATCACTGTCAACTGTGGTCTCCTCAGACAAAGAACACCCCTGTGTGTCTCACCTGGTTGCATGCTGAAATGGGAAAACCACTTGGTAACTCAGTAAATGAGGATGTTATCATTACAGCCAGGTACACTTAAGACATATTTTATATTTGAAATGTCAGATTTAGAGTGTCCTATTCTATAGAACTGTATTTAGAAATTATTCAAGAGGTTGGGACCTACAAAAATGCTTGACCTGAAGCTTATGGTCATCCTTGCCTTCAGCTGTAAATGCAAATCTGCCCTCTAAAAATACAAGGGTGTGCCCTGTAAGGATAATAAAGGGAGGGTAGTAACACCATGGGCATAGCAAATGAAGGTGACAGGGAAATGGGAAATCAAGCAAGGATAGAAGTAAAATTACCCTGTGGGAGTTTAATTAACAAAATTAGCCCTAAATGGATTTTTGCTCCTTCTGTACCAGGACTGATAGACCTGACTTGTGAGTAGCCAAGGAGATTAGAAGTAGCCAAAAATTTATCAAGAAAATCAGGATGTTTCCTCCAGGAGGCAGGACTGGACTGTGATTATAATTTTGTAAGATGGACTTGAATTGATGACAATACAGTCCTCCTGGAGAAACACAGGGTGAAGACGAGATAGTGAGCCTGGGAATACAAGGTCTGACATTTAAGTTCGCGAACTCACCCTAGAAAAAGTGCTCCATACCTGATTGCTGAATATCACCACAGTCACCTTCAAATCACTCCCCTTGGGAAGCTATACACTGATGTCAGTGCCTAGTCCACCCTTCAAAGCAACCTTGTAACTTTTTCGGGAATGGCCATCAGAGCTGTTGTCGTATTACCCTCGATGTCCTGAATGTCATCAAAATGTCTTCCTTTCAACATTTCCTTTATCTTCAGGTAAAGAAAGGAGTCATTGGGGGCCAGATCAGGTGAGTGGGAGGGTGGTCCAATACAGTTATTTGTTTACTGGCTAAAAACTACCTCACAGACAGTGCTGTGTGAGCTGGTGCATTGTTGTGATGCAAGAGCCATGAATTGTTGGCGATAAGTTCAGGTCGTCTAACTTTTTCACGCAGCCTTTTCAGCACTTCCAAATAGTAAACTTGGTTAACTGTTTGTCCAGTAAACTTGGTTAACTGTTTGTCCAGTTGGTACACACTCATGATGAGTAATCCCTCTTATATCAAAAAAGGTTAGCATCATTGATGCAACACGTTTGCAAACTTAATTTTCAGATAAAGGAAATCTAAGGGGCTAGATGCCAACGGTCCCCACCCAGACTCTAACCAAAGGAGAAGCACTGAGGCCTCAAAGTGAAAATAACCTGTTTATTCCTAGTAGCACATCTTCCACTTCGGTGATGAGGCCTCAGTCTGGCAACTTTTTCATGACACTAATAACTCAAATCATACAATTATTTCCTCTTGCTTTAATTTCACTTCCTCCTGGATACTTCTGATTGTAAGTTGGTTTCCCATAAAGCTCTCCCTTCAGGCAGTGGATGTCTAGGTCCTGCCAGTGGAACTCCTTATATTTGGTGTAGTTTGAACCTGTGTCTTATCTGTTCTCTGTATGCTGACCAAATCAAACTTCTGAGTCTTTGGAGGACCAGCATCTAGGTTGTGATGAATTCACCTACTTACGTACCATTTTTTGATGCCTCTTTTCAACTAGTTCATAGGAACCTCCTAAAGAATCCCTTACCCACTACACACTTTAATCAAGTGAAAAAAAATGAGTAACATTAATAAGTACATTTTATCTAGACTCAATTCTCATTCTTTGAGTTAAATGTGCCCTGTAAAATCACTAGGAAGATTAGAAAAAATCAATTTTTCCTTTACTTTTTAATACCTTCACTTAAACAGATATTTCTCCTCAAACACTGTAGATGTGGATTTTTCCCTCTTTGGCCAGTAGCCTTGGTGAACTGTGCTAAATTATTTAAAAAGATGACAAGATGGTTTGTATGTCATTGTGTAGCTGTTCAGCTTTGGACAGGTCACTAACTCTGCTGAGCATCACAAAAGATACTATAATCAAAAATTTTCATAGCATCAACAGAGACACAAGATTTTTAAAAAGCATCTATTTTGAATAATAGACATTTAAAATTAATAGGGGTTGATATTTTAATCAAAGGAAAGGGTATATCTAAATATATCTCATTAAGGGGTACTTGAAATGCAGCTTTTATTTAAAAACGGAACATTTCTCGAAACGTTCTTAGGATGAAATTAGTAAAAATAAAATTAATTTCCTCTTTGCCTGTTACTGTGTGACAACACAACAGTAAGGGAGGTTTTCAGTACACTTAGAGGGATGCTTAGGATGCTTAGAGTACAAGCTAAACAGCATATGCAAAATTCTCTTGGGAGTGCCTTTCAAATAGATAAACAGGCAAGAATCCACAGGACCGCCAAAAGGTGAGAACTATCAGAGAGGTAAAGATGCTGTAGGGAAGAGAAATAAATAGTTCTTGCACTCTAAACCCCAAGCTGAAAGACTCAAGGGCAGACACTACGGAACTGCAGGCACTGCTTCTCAATAAAGCAGTTTCTTCTCACATGGGCAACTCTGTGTGGCACATGCCACGGGAGTGCAGTAGTTGAATTTTTAAAAAATAATTTCACCATGGTATTGAGTCTCTGAA